CAGTTCGCCCATGCCTGATCTATACTGTGCACAACATAGAACCAGGAACCATGTACAACAGTAAAAGTAACAACACAAGGCGAAATACGAGGTGCAGGCGCGCGCGCCTCTGTGTGTGTGTGCGTGTGTGTGTGTGTGTGTGTTTGTGTGCGTGTGTGCGTGTGTGTGTGTGTGCGTGATTGTGAGTGTTCAGGTGTGTGTGAGTGTGTGCGTGTGTATTTGCGCGTATGTATGTTCAGATGTGCGGATATATGTGTGTGTATGTGCATGAGAATATGTGTGTGTGTGTGTGTGTGTGTGTGTGTGTGTGTGTGTGTGTGTGTGTGTGTATGTATGTATGTAGCAGTGCGCATGGCACATGTGAGTGTGAAAGTGTTTGTGCCTGTGTGTGTGTGTGTGTGTGTGTGTGTGTGTGTGTGTGTGTGTGCGTGTGTGTGTGTGTATAAGTGTGTGAGGGTGAGTGTGAGCACGTAGATGAAGAACAGAACGACAGCAAAGATGAGAAAAAGAGTAATTTCTCTAACTTTTTATTCATTTCTTTGAGTTCTTTCAGCAGTTGGTTATTTTGGAAAGGAAAAGAGTGGATTAGAATGAGAAAGCATTTACTGTGGGGAAAGGACCACAGGGTGGGGAGTCACTCTAGGAAAGGTAGTCAGAGGCAGGCACGCGTTAAGGGGAAAAAAAACACAGCAAGGCAAAGGCACTTCTCAGGCTCCAAATGCAGAGCAAGGCTAGAGCGAGTTATTAGCTACTACTCGTTGTGTTACTGTTTGGCTCAACCTACACATTGTATCCCGACTTGGTACTTTTAAACGGAGCGCTGCGGAGAGAAATGGGCAAATTATGACAACATCCGGCAGAATTCTTTTACAAATTTTCTGCTTTCAGTATTTTGTCCGATGAACGTTGTGCTGTTATCAACAAAGAAAAATGCTGTTGTGGAAAATGATGAACAAAAGTACGAGTTTAAAAAAATATAACGTAAACGAATCAAGAAAAAAATAACATTGTCAAAACTGATTTTAAAACAAAACGAAACCAAATTTTTAAAACTGAACAAATTGTGAATGGGCAGTCTGTCACCAACAGTGAACGAAATTCAAAAGACAAAATGACAACGAAAAATCACTGAACAAAAGAAGTGTTTTTGTGACAGTTTTCCGTTTACGGCGAAATGAAATACAGAAAGGCATTCTCTTAAGTGGCAAACTGGACGTGTAACTCAAAGCAACAACAAAACATTCTTTGAAAAGTGAACGACAATGTGCGAATGAGTGACGACAAGTTGTGGTTGAAAGTGAAATGAGTTCTTTTCTTGTGCACGTAACAAAGACACTGTACCACTGGCGATTAAGTAACTGAAATCACTTCCAGGATCACAGCAATATGAAGGAATAATAATAGAATTTGTATAGCGCAAATCCCCGCTCAACAGCAAGCTCTATGCGCTTCACAATCTATACTATTACCCCAGCAGACCTGAGAATATTCTGAAACAACCTCAACTTCCTGGAAGCATACAGTGCAAGCAGCCATTTGTAGCCGCTAAAACACTAACATACTGACAAGATCTTTCGCTGTCTATGGCCGAGTACCTACTCCCACCTGGGTGAAGTGAGGAAAATTCGTGTAAAGTTCTTTCCCAAGGACACAACGTCGGGCCCGCGGCTCGAACCCCCAAACCCGCAACCTCACATTACAAGTCCAGTGGCCTAACCACTAGGCCAAACAACAAAGTAAGCATGTCTCTTTTAACCAGCACCCTCCCTCCCTCCCCCTCTCCCCCCATCCCTCCCACCCGCCACTCTTGCAGAAGTTGACAAGTTGCTGGCAAATACAATGATAAGAATTCGCCATCAGAGAGAAAATAGTTCATAGGAATTAACAACCGGTATATTTTAAAAATGGAACGGTGAGGAAAGAAAGTTCATAAAACTGCATTCCATTTAAAATAACCCCTTTTAACTTAGGGAAATACAGATTTAAAAGCATAATAATAGGATAAAACCATTGTTGAATTTTTTTCCCGCCACACTAAACAATCCCATGTCTGTTGGATTATCTTAAAATCATTTTATAAGATGAAGCTAGAAATGATATGTACGAAAGATGTAAAATGAAAAGAAAAACGGGACTGGACCTGTGTAATGCAAAACTTTCCATGAAACAAACAGCAAGTAAGACAAAAACAAACACACTGTCAGAAAAAGCTGACTCTAAAACAAAATAGGATTAAAAAAATAAAATGATGAAACTACAACTCAAAGTTATTTGGGGGAAAAAAAAAACTCTTTAAAAAGGAAAGAAAATAAATAGCTTTATGACGTTCAAGATAACTTGAAATCACAGCTGAATCTTATATGAATTTCATGAATATTAACCAACTAACAATTTCACTTAGGAAACATCAGCCCATTATCACTGTTCACCCAGATAGATATTATAATCAATTCCTTATTACGGACTAAACAAAGTTGATAAAAAAGGTGGCTCAAGATATTAAACGAAATGGGACAAAGCCCCCAAAGAGCAAGTATCATACTTACATTCGGTACCGAACAAGCAAAGGTGACTCATCACTTTCAAAATCATAAAACATTGACAAGTTAATAAAGCAGTAGGTTTGGCCTCACATCCAAGAGCCAAATTTTAAAAAAAGAAAGAAAAAAAAAAGAAAAAAAAAAGAGATGTCTGTTCAAACGAAGTTCAGACCAGCGTACATCTAATTCAATCTTGTAGCTATTTCACTTGCTACTCATTTAAATAGAGACAGGACAAAGAAACAATGACAGGAAAGTTGTGTTTACAGACAAATCTGGTGAACACACATAGCACTGACTGGTGTAACAAATAACGGTGATGTTCAACATCTACAGGGACCAGTCCTACCTACCACAATGAAAGTACAATAATCAAAGCATCAAAACAGAACACAGGACACCAAAGTTTACATAAGAATATGTTTGAAACAACAAAAACAACAACTAAGACAGACTGCATTCAACACGAACCCTTCAAACTGTGACACATTAAAGGATTGCCAAAAACACCTCAATAAAACTGATCAAGTTGTATTTATAACCCAACATATCCATACTATAAGAGACACCCTGCCGTTAAGGCCATCTGTGCTAGACAACGACCTGTATAAAACACCACTCCCCATTTCATCCCCTGCAATTTGTCCTATATTACAGTGACACTGTCCACAATATCAACCTGTCTAAGACAACCCCTTTTCTTTCTGACAAAGAGTGTCAATCTTGGACCACTTTTCTCCTCAGCAATGGGCGGCCGTCTTGGACAATTTCGACAGCGACTACAAAGAGAACGTGGACACCGCTTTATCTACTGTACCATCTCAGCCGTGTTGAATGCGAGTCTGTTCCTTCTACTATGTGGACAACGAGTAATAAGACAATAAGACAAAATGACAAGATGAACAACGTAAAACACATACTTCTCCTCCGTCCTGTTCACCAGAGCCAGCCGGCCGTAATCCCAGGCAATCTTCCTCAAAATGGTGAACAGCAGGAGCAAGACCTGGAAAAAATCAGGTCATTGGTATTATTATTTTTTATTATTTAAAAAAAAAAATTTTTAGTGGAGGGATTTACGGCGCTCGCAAC